ACAGTTCATTTTTAAATCAATTGTCTCAGGCAACCGATATGATCAGTCATTCGACCTGTTTTTAACTTTGAAATGATGATTAATCCTCATGAGGCTACAAGGTTATATTTCTGCTCAAACTGAGCATTAAGGAAGTCAAACCTCTGCCTGCACTGTTTTTAAAGGTAAAGAAAGCGTCCAATAAAGTGAAAAACACATGGAAGCATATTGCAATTAACATGAGAAAATACAAATCTGCTCTGTTTTAAAAGTCAGGTGAATGCAGATACTGTAGCTTGTTGTTTTTTTTTTCAGTTTCATTTATCTAAATGTAAACTTGCTCCACTTCTTAGAGCAGGATGTCAAACAAACGAACTGCGGGCCGTATTCCGTATAAATTCAATATTTGTAATACTTATTTTCCCCGAATTTGATTAAAAACCTTTGTATAATGAGCAACGTAAAGGTTGATGTCATGATACGAAAATGAATTAAACGGGGCACTTTGAACTATCTTCTCAGCAGGGAGTATCATCAAAAAGACGAGTGGCCGAGCGCACGAGCTGCTCCTGCATTACGCTGGTAATACATCACATCAGCAAACAGGCTGAACACCTGAGAGAGGTGACACAGAATGCAGGTTTTCAAGAGAGATCGAAGGAGCGATATTTCTTTAGTTTTATTTGCTCACAAGTTGCCAGAATCGTATCAAAGCTACGGGACTTAACCGCTGCACTGCGCGCGCATCATGACGGTCTTCAGTTCTGTGCACACTTCTTACCAGCTTCTCCTGTCTTGACTGATGTAAAACAAAATGTTGACTAATAATAACAAAGCTTCCTATGGAGTGAGCTACAAAGAGCAGCTCGTGTAAATAAAAAGCAATCCTCCATGCGTAACGGCCCAGACCGTCTCCTCACATCCAGACTAAGTGTAGGTTGTGGACACCGGCGTTGAGACTGATGCATCTCCCGACTTATTTTACCTCTGGTTATTAAACAGTAAATTAAAATGAATATTAACTGATTTTAATTACAGATGGTTCATTTTTAGGTCACCCAGATGTGAAAGTGTTGTGTTGATCATCTAAAAGTTTCATCACTTCTAAATGCAGTAGCCTGCTGTTGCGCCTTTATCACCAGCTCTCATCAGACTGTAAAAATATAACTATTACTGAACATTTCATTCTTATCCAAATACGATATCACGCACAGGCTGCCCGATCATACAGAGGTCCGCTGGTTTAACCGAGGAGCAGCGCTAAAATGCTTCCTCGAATTACGCACGGAGATGGCACAGATTCATGACGCATAAAAAGTCAGTGACAGAGTTAGATCACGATAGTACGGACACGGAGAAGAACGGACAGCCAGACTGATATCAAAAGTCTTTTAACTGAGTTTACTTAGTTGAAGAACGTGCACTCCACACGGAGCTGATCAGACTGCAGTGCGCAACGCTGAAGGATCAATTTAAGTCTGTTGGTTTGGAAACATGTTATCATTTTAGAATGCCTCACACTAAAATACCTGAAGATGACTGTTTGCATCAAAGACACTCTGTGTGTTTGTGATAACTTATTCATGTGAGCAGGTTTATCTGTAATGAACCTTAAGGAGTGCAAACTGTGCTGTGGCCTGACACACACACATCTAAAGTCTCTCTCTGTCTCTCTGTCTCTCTCTCTCTGTCTCTCTGTCTCTCTCTCTCTCTCTCTCTCTGTCTCTCTCTCTCTGTCTTTCTCTAGTAATGCACTGATACCAGGGCAGGTAGAATCACCTGTGTCAAAGTTTCTATAACCTTGAACAGCAATATTAAAACATAATATAATAATCTCAAACAAAACATAATTATTGATGTTTTCTTCTGTAATGTGGTACATTTAAATATTTCCATGTGCCAACATGCAGTTTGCAATGACAGAGTTAACCCCTCTGCTTAATCACTCTTACATTTTATGCGTTAACATGTAGTTTTCTATACAAGTACCTTTTTTTTCTAATCATGCATTAGCCTATAAATCCATGTGTCAAGTTATAGTGATGTCAGCAAAATTAGTCCGATACCAATAGGACTTTGACACCCCTGTCTTAGAGCAATGTTGTTGTTTGACTTAGTTACCGGTATGCACCTCCAAATGTAGTTATGTTCATTTTTGGGTTTATTCTGAATTATTTAAAGTTCCTGTGATGATTTTTTTTTTTAAACCTTCCTGGGTGGTGATTTTCAGATATCAGTTTTCAGTTAGTTACACTTGCACTTTGTTACAGTTGGCCTATTACGTCACATACCCAATAATTGACAACATCCATGGACTTCAATGTGTTTCAGTATAAAGTAACAAAATAGTACCAATTAAAACGTTTTCTTAGAAACAATCTTCAGTTAGGCATCAAGTAAGGTCTTTTACCTGTTTTTGTAAAGTGTGTCGAGATAACACTTGTTATGAGTTGAGGTTATACAAATTAAATTGATTGATTGATTGATTGATTGATTGATTGATTGATTGATTGATTGACTGATTGATTGATTGATTGATTAGACTAAATGTACATGTTTCCTTCGTGCCTCCATTACTGCGTGCCTGCAGGTAAACTAACCCTACCTTAAGTCAACCTTTTGTCCTCAAGTGACTTCAGTACATTTCATAAGACCATGTAACCTTGGCACACCTGATTGTGAGAATTTGACCATCAGTATGAACATTGTAATTATGTTCCTGTCAAACCTCAAGTACCAAAAACTTGTTTTGTTGTAAACTCCCTGTTTGGTAACAGATAATTATCACATTCTCAATTGACTAGATTAGTTTGATGTTGAAATCTAGACATGATGACACACTATAAATATTCAGAGGTTTTTATGACTGAGTGTCTTCAAGAAGAATTCATATGATAAACTTAACACAGAGTCTGTTTCCCCTTTTTGTTGTTTTAATCCAGTACCAGAGGACTCACCATGTGGCTAAAAGGTTTTATAAGTAACCATGTCAACATGAAACTTCTGAAGACCTGTGTCATCCTTCTCCTTCTGACTGTGTTGTTCTTTACACGAAGAAACATGGACCTGCTGCAGGTGAGAACTGGGATTATTGGTAACACTTTAAAGGTGGTCATTGAGTGTCTTTCAATGTACTAAAGTGGGGAATGGGCCCCCCTGGGGGCTCCTGAGACACTGAAAGGGGGTTCGCGAGATTCTTTCTAATCGTTTCTTTTATATTTAAGTTACTGGTGCAATATCACTTAATTGTTGAAAGTTAATTTGGTTTAGTAAATGATCTGAGGTTAATTTAAGGGTTTATTTTGATTTCTTTGCTTCAAGAGAAAAGTGTAAACCCACTATTTGAGTTGTGCTGCACCCAGCATCAGTGGCTACAAGCCTGCAACCAATCATCATTATGATGTGAGCTCTGAATCAACAAATAAACATCAAGTTCCTGGTTGAGAGCACACACATCAAAACAAAAAAAGCCTAAACATGCAATTCTAAAAAACAAATGTAACAGGAAATGTATGTGCCTCCTGGAAATGTTGCTAGACTGTTAGTGATGCACACGAAGATTATAATTACAGATCCTCCCTGGATCCGCACCGAGAACTGTCCTTATCAGGTTTCTTTTTTATCTTAGCATAGCCACAGTGAGTGCGTCATAACTTTGTAACTGAATGTCTATATAGTGTGGAGTTGGACTGCCCTTCTCTGGGCTTTGCTGCAGACTTACTTTCAATCTGTACATTTGCTCTTCCTATTTGCAAAAGGAATAATAAAATGGCAACAAACACAACTGAATGACTCAAAGATCTTTTATTAAACAATCTCTCATTACAGAAATTTCCAGCACACATATCAATTCATAATCTCCAGTTCAGGGGACACTTAAGGGCCCAAAAAATAAATGATGATCCAAACGCAAAATCAGAAACATTCCAGGAGATGTAAAGTCATTTAATTGGGATAAAAGGAAGGCTAGATATATGTCTATAGTTAGCTAATGTTATTGAATCAAGAGCAGGCTTTTTAAGAAGAGGTTTAATTACAGATGTTTCAAATGACTGTGGTGCAGTCATCTGCATAACTTCAACTACTCATACAAGAACACCTGAACAATGAACAAGCACCGCTCTGAACAGTCTCACCTTTCACTACAGTTAAACGAACCAGCGCCCAAGTATATTTATGGCCATCCAAGTACATTTCCAACCTGTTTTTATTTAAATGTATTTGCTGCACGCACGAGAGAGAGAGAGAGAGACAAAACGGGAGAGAGAGCGCAAAAGAGAGTGCATCAGTGTTTGAAAAAGAAATCCCTCTCGACTCCTGAGGAGAGAAAAGACACAGGAATATCAAGAAAGCAGTATCACATCAACTTCAGAGAGAGAGAGAGAGAGAGAGAGAGAGGGAGAGAGAGAGAGAGAGAGAGAGAGAGAGATGAGTATGGAGTTAGATCAGTCTCAATATTCATGATTGCATACATAAAGATTCACAAATGTATTTCAATGCACACACAAAATATTTATAGTTCTATATAAATGTAAAACAAATCCACAAATACAAAAAAATAAGATTCACAAACATATTTCACACACAAATATTATTGTTATATATATATATATGTAATAGAAATCCACAATTATATGATATACATATATATATATTTATAATTAAAGGTATTTGCAATTTTAATCAAAAACACATTTGTATCATGATTTGTTCTGTTTAGTTTAGTTTTTCACAGTTCAGATGGTTTTTATCTTTTAGGTCTCATTCTTCCCTGGTGTTTCCCTCTATGTTCTAGTGTTTCTTAATTTTTCATTCTACAGTGTCTTCAGTGTTTCATGTATTTATTTTGTAGTTGTCCTCAGTGTTTCTTGTCTTGTGTTCATTCCTTCCTCTGTGTGTTTCCCTCCAGTGTGATTGCCCTCATTGTCTTCACCTGTGTCATTAGTCTCACCTGTGTTTGATTACCACTGTGTCTATTTAGTCTCTGTGTTTCTTCCCTTCCATGTCAGTTCATTGATTCATGGTAGTTATCAGTCTACTAGTGTCTCCTTGTAGTTTTGTTTTGGATTTTGCTAGCAAGTTTTTGTTTTCCTTTTTTGATTATTAAATACTTTTAGTTTATTCTACACTTGGGTCCACCTCTCCTTGTTTTCCAACCATTCATGACAATTTGTATCTTGTTGTCAGAGCATCTAGGAGGGATGTTACAGCAACTACAACAACTACCAATCTAGTTGAAGGCTCTTTCCTCTTGGATGGAGTTTGTTCTTTTTTCACATTCAGTGAGTCCAGTTTGTAAAATTCAGTTGAAACTCAGCGTAGCAACCTGGGCGAGAACAATGCTAACCTTTCTAGAGAACAAAAAAACCTGTAAAACTGGTTTGATTCAGGATACCGCCTGCAGGGTTTGAGAATATATAAAGCTTATGTTCCTATCAGTAACTGTATCTTCCTGTTCCTGTATCTTCGGCAACATTCATGGCAGTGAAACCCTCCCTCTGAAAACCCAATGACTTTTTGTGTCGTCTTGATGCTTCTTGTTAGGACAGGTTGTCTGTATGTTAGTGAAGGATTCTATCATTGTACTAAAACTCACAGAGATGAACTTCTTTTTATCATTTGATCACCATCACATTAAGATTTCACCACTGTGTTCTCTCCATATTGATCTCTACTGAGGTAAGACATGATGTTCTTTATTCAGTAACATTGAAGTTATCCTGTGTGTTTCAACGATACAACTTCCCCTATCTAAAGATAACTTTCTTATCCTAGCTGTCTCTCTTACTCTCTCCTGTAAATAAACAGTTCCACAGCGCCCCTACAGGCCTGGAGCACTTCCGTTTAAGGCTGAACTTAGAGCGTTTCTGTGTTTGCAGCATGTTTGATGATTATGCAGTTGTTTTGCCTATTTGCAGCGCATTTGTGTCTTTGCAGCGCGTTTCAGCCTTTGCATTTGTTGTGGTAGTTTGCATTTGCTTTTGAATGTGCAGCGTTTCTGTAGACGCTGCACGTTTTTATAAATGTATGTCGTTTCATCAGTTGCTGATTGTTTGACCCCTACCGGCCACCGTACACATGTGAGTCACAGAGTTGATCAGGTTAATTAAATATATAATATCTAAAATTACACATCATGATTTTTAGAATAATTGATTTTTTTTAATCAACAAAGTAACAAGTGAAACTGAAGAAAAAACATTGAGGAATAAATGGAACAGAATTAGAATCTGAAATGTAATTGTGTTAAAGTATAAAGTAACAAAATAGTACCAATTAAAAAGTTAATTTAAAAATAATCTTTAGTTAGGCTAAATGTATGTTTCCTTCATGCAAGCATTACTGTGTGCCTGAAGGGAAACTAACCCTACCTTACATGCAACCTATTTTCCACAAATTACTTCACTACTTCATGAGCTCAGATTTCCTGATCATGTAACATTAGCACACCTGACTGTGACAATTTGACGCTTGGTGTGAACTAGGGCTGTCAGCAGAAGTGAATTGTTTTAGATTAATTGAGGTCCCAAATTAATGCAATCTTGTCATTTGAATCGCCATTAATCTCATGATATTTTGTCCCTTTGGTCACACTGTGGATAAGCCTCCGTCGCGTCTCTCTGTAGGCACAGTGATGGAAAGAACAACACAGCTGCGTCTTTGAATGTCTCATTTCAATTGTAGACAGCTCAGTTTAAAAGTCAAATGTAATATCCACCGTTTGACATCAACATTTCACTATTCTTGCTGTTCATTTTAGCTGTTATATTTGGTTTTTGACCTGTAACGAGTTGGCTTTTTCTGATCCACAAGGTGATCCTTACTTTATACCAAAATAAAAGCAGGGTCGAATTCAAACAGCAAGTACTCTCAACTTAAGACAGTACAAACATTTAAAATAAATAAAACTTCTGTTAATAATCTGTGACTAACTTCAGTGTCTTCAAGAAGGATTCATGATAAACCTAACAGAGTCTGTTTCCCCTTTTTGTTGTTTTCATCCAGTACCAGAGGAGGACTCACCATGTGCCTAAAAGGATTTGAGTAACCATGTCAACATGACACTTCTGAAGACCTGTGTCATCCTTCTCCTTCTGACTGTGTTGTTCTTTGTACTAAGAAACATGGACCTGCTGCAGGTGAGAACTGGGATTAGTGGCAACACTTTGAAGATGGACTGATGATTACAGGGGATTATTTTCAACAGTGTCTTTCAATGTACTCTTCACAACATTCATGGTTTTTATTTGCAAATAAACACAATTTCAAGGTTATGTTGCTTAAAACATTTTGCTCAGTGATTCTCTGAATCACTGGAGGGTGGGGTAATGGGGTGAAAAGCTGTGAATGCATTAATGACATACACACATACTTGATGCCATCCCTGCATAATTTGCACCTTGGGCCACCTGTCACAAAAAGTCTGAACACGACCTTGCTTACAAAAGACATCAACTTCAAGAAACGGAAAAAGAATCACAGATTTTTACTTTATTGAGCAGTTAAAAGGTCAAAAGTAAGGTCAGTTATAAAAGGTCTATAATGCTCTGTAGAACAAAAAAGCAAACATTAGTCACCCCTGTCCACTTTTTGGACCCATTTAAACCCACTATAATAATTATTTTTGAACTTATGGCCATAGTAGCATAGAAACGTAAGTTTTGTTGTTATAGGCAATCAATCTGTAGACCATACTTCAAATTTGTAGATTTTACAATTTTTTTTTTATCACATTTTTCAATTTTAGCCCAACAGCACAAATACATGCATTTTTTCTAGTAACCACAAGGAACAGTGTTGAAGCTCATACGGCCCATTATTTCTTGTTCAAAGTTATCCTATATTATTTGTTTGGGAATTAGATGGGGGGGAAAGACTTTATAGGATCATAATAATGACTAACATATTGGTGATCATATCGAAACAACAATGGTCTTTTTACATACCTTGAAGTCACTTTGATTAGAAATTGATAAAAAGCATGTAATCATTTTTAGCTGTTTAATTTCTGTGTCCAATTTTTGGACATTGGGTGCTATGTGTAACATTTATTTTAGGGGCGCCTGAGTTAAAGAATTATCTGAGCACAGTTCTTGTTGTTGTTTTTTTAAACAACAACAAAATATGATCATATCAATAGCTTTAATCCTGTTGGATTACTTTACTACCGGGACCTGATGATATCAGGGAGGTATCATGACTTTTTTAATGTTCAACTGATCTTCAGAAAAGATTTAGGGCCCGGTCTTTCTTTCGGGGTGCATAGTCCCGCATAACGAATCATGCAAATAACTTTTCAAGTCGAGTTTTCATATTGTTAATTATTACAACCCTGATTCCTAAAAGTTGGGACCCTGTGTAAAATGGAAATAAAAATAGAAAGTGATTATAGAGGTCAGATCTTAAAAAGTCCTTCACTCACCTGTGGTAAGTGTAGCCTTGGTCAGAAGAGTTTATGTCAACAGACTGTGGCTAACTTTCATCAGGTGTTTCTACCCTCTTCCTCCTGACTGTCTCCTCTCTCCAACAAACAAGAGGCTCTCTCAGCCACCTCCCCCATCCTGCGGTCTGCAGTCTTCCTCTCCTTTCCTGTCACACCCATGGCTGTGATAATCCTCTACACTGACTGAGCCAGGAATCCTCTACATCTGACTTCGATTGGGAATAGCCACGCCTGCCAACCTTTTCCCCAACTGTTAGGTGGGGGTTGTTTCTGTTTGTATAAATCCAATGAAGAAATCGTGAAACAGACTGGAGATTATAACACCGTTTAATCGGCCGAGGTCAGACAACTTCATCAAACAAGCATGCTTCCAAATCACTTGACTGACAAAGTGCTGACAAAGTAACAGTGTTCACAGTGCTGCTTATATTCTGTCAAAAAGGTGCAACCCACAAATTCCTTTCCATTTGGTACATCACCATAAACAATAAAGATGACATGACACTGATTTGTATACGTAACAACTGTAGACTCTCTGTCTAGCAAACAGTTGCTGACAACATATGCTGGCTCCTATCCAAACATAGATCTGCTACTACTTAGGTGCTTCACTCATATATGTTTACAGCTTCAGACACCTAAAAGTAGGAGTTTAACAGGTGGTAGGCAGACTTGATTAATACATTTCACGAAGTTACAAGATTAATGAATTTCATGAAAATTCGTACTAACAGTTCACCCTTTTTTATTTAATCTTTTTTTGTCTTTAGGGGAGAAAAAGTTTTAATTTTCCTAAAGGGCGCTCACCATCACCTTCTACCAGAGTATGGTCCCTGTCTTGTACCTATAAGACTTCAAAATAATTTTATCATTGTTCGAATAACATAAAAATGTTTTAAGAGTGGTTGGAAATTACAGGTACAACTCATAGACCATAAACTCTCTTACAGGGGTCCAAAACCTTATTTCTAATACTTTATTTTGAAAGAAATTAGGATGAAAAGAACTCCTGCGTATTTAACCGACTAAACAGAACAGGTGGTAAACCCTATATTATTTAATTGATTGTTGACTTTTAGGGAGAAACCCAATCCATGTTCTGCCTTTTCTTTTCTTTTTTATGGTGAGTCACAGCACATCTAAAACAAAATCAAAAACATTCCATACAGTCAAATCAAAATCTAATACTTATATATCACATCCCTCTTTTTTTTTATAGTTATTACCAAGAACTAAAATAATTCCTCAAATTTGCATGTTAGAATGTTTCCTCTGTCGTGGAAGCCTCAGGGTACTCCAAAAATAAAATAAAATAAAATAAAATAACAAACAAAAACACTTGCTAACTACAAATGAAAGAAATCTTACCTATTGCGCAAAAAGAAATACAATTCTAACCTTCCTGTCTACCCAATAAACAGGAGAAAAGTGTTTTATTAAACAAAAAAAATAAAAATAATGAAATAATGAAGCCCCAATACTTCCATGGCAAAGGGCGTGGTATTCTCTTCTACTGTCCGGGTTAACTTTACATCTTCATCATCCTATTTTGGTGATGTAAGAGTTTGAGGTGCAGGGTATCCTTGTTCAGTCCACATTATTGATGTATGAATCAGAGTTAGAGTCCGAAAGGGAGATTGATTCAGAACTGTCTGGGTGGGGATCCCTGGGCACCGTCACCGGCGGGCAGTAGAAGGCCACGTTCCTAACAGGATTTTGAACCATAGTTAAATTAGTAACTGAGTTGACAGATCTTAAAATCAATGCACGAAAAATAGGAAAACAACAACACATGATAACAGAAACTATTATCATGATCGTAAAAAGGGGTACAGCAATACTCAAAAGCCAGGCAATTAAAGGATTATTTTTGAACATATCAAAGAAATTTTCCAAAGGTTTTAAGTTATTATATCCTCCACTACCTTTTGCATCCCGATTTACTTTGGTAATTCCTTCCTGAATTTGGCGAATATTATTAATGGCCTTTGTCAAATTGCCAAGGCCTTCAGATCTTGATGGAAGATAAGTACAACATCCTTCGCCAACAATAGCACATACGCCCCCTTGTGCCGCCGTTATGGCGTCTAAGGCTTTCCGATTATCGATCACAAATTGTCTAATTAAGGCAATTTCACTTCCCAATGCCTGAAGTCCCTTAAGTGTCTCATTTGCCACCAAAGCTATATCGTGTCGTGTAAGTGCGATGAGATAATGGTTAGCGTACTGCAATTCAGTGTTCCAAAAAATAGTTTTAAACACTAATTGAGAATGCGTGAAAATTTGATAATCAGGATTCAATTCATAATATCGTTTTGCTAAGTCAGCAGGATCTGTATTTTTAAGATGGACATACCCTGATACGTCTGTTAAATCTCGTCGCGATCGTTGGAGACCTGTTTGAGTAGGTAAATATTCCACAGGTTCTACCAGGTATACTAAATCATTTAGCATACATAATCCACAGTTTCCTCTAAACATTGGAGGAAGGCTAGTCCATACATTTTGTCCACAACACCAATAAAAACCTGGGATGATGGAAATTCCCAAGCTTAATAGCTGGGTATAGTCTCCTACACGATCAATCACAAAACGACATTGTCTAGAATGTAAGTAACCCATATTCTGTTGTTCGTGCAACTCTAATGTTTGTCCAGTGATGCAAACATCAAAGACAGCGGAGGAATTTATTGTGGCTGACAATCTGGTGGGTTTAGTTGATAAATCAATAGGAACTTGTACGATATGTTTCTTGTAAAAATACGGACAGCCCATTAAGGAAGGATAATGCTGTGGTACGTGTAAGGTTGTAGCATGTATCTCAGAAACATTAGTCATAGCCCCTTGGTTAACAGATATTTTAGAATAGATCACATATTGAGTCATTTTATGAAAAATGCCATCAACCTTTTGTACTAATTTATTTGTCTTTCCTATGTGGAAATCTTTAGGACGTATTATAGGTCTAACTGATAAAAGCCATTGTGAAGTTAAACCAAAAATAGGATGTGTTTGAATAACAAACTGATAAGCTAATATGCACAAAGATGGTAGACCCTTTTGTCCTAGAAGAGGTGTTGCTACTGTGGGAAACAGTTCTTGTGTAGATTGTGGGATAAGTGAACATGCGTAGCAAGATTTTTGAGTCAATTTCCGAACTTTACTTGTCATTGATTGATACCATAAATTGGATGTGAACGGGTGATTGGTTGTCAAGGTCATATCAAGATTGTGAAAAACACGATCACTGTCATTTTCCTCAACTTTCAATCGTTGTTCAACATTGCCAGGTTGTGGTGTGGGCCAATTGGAAGGTGGAACAGTTTGTTGTTCGTCTGTCGACGGATTGAATTTAGCTTTGTCTGAAACCCAATATGGTGCACAACTTCCCTGCCAAAATGCCGGAATATAGGTATACAGTTTCTCTCCACAAAGCCAAATTATTTGGTCAATCGCTGGAACTGGCCATTGATTGAACAAATAAAAGTGCGTAGCGCAGTTTCGTGTAAAGCCCATATTGTGGTAGGTTATGAATGTCACAGATTTTACACAAACTAAAGGAGGTATCTTTTGTGTAGCTTTTATCACGACTGGTTGAAAGTCTGAGTATGCTTGTTTATCATATTGAACAAAGAAGTTTGGAGTAAGCTTTGCCCAAAATTCGTTACAATATTTGGTTGTTGCTCGTTCTTGTAGATCTCCTATTGGACGATATGATAGGGCCTCAACTTCTTCATTTGCTACTGATCGATACACTGTACGAACATCAGTCACATCGGTTAACTCTACAAAGGTAACGTTATCGATGTAGAAAGGCTTTGAAGCGTTCACTGTTAACGGAAGATACAAACACTGTATATCAAGTAGATTGACCGGGGTATGATTTAACATGCCCATTTCAATGTATGGCTCTTGAGTAAAGCTGCGTCCCTGGTATTTTCGAGTAGGTGTGACATAGTCCAGAAAAGAAGAAACAAACAAATAGAATGTTATTGCCCCAAATATCATTGTGAGATTACAAACAAGACATTTTCTGAAATATTTGTACATGTGAATCAGTCTGTACTTCCCTTGTTCAGGAAGAGGTTGTGCGACGTCATTGCTTCCAATGTTGACGGGATCACAGTCTCTGATTCCACAGCTTCCATTACAGTCTGCAGGGCAGCCTTGACCCTGGATGCATGTATCCATTGCGGTTGTCCTTTGATTTTGACTGCCGTTCTTGTCACTAGGAGTACTTGTGTGGGTGGTCCAAAGCGTGGCTCGCCCTCTTTTGGTTTAAGGCTGCGCACTAGGACTTGGTCACCCGGTTGGAAGGCATGTATGGGGGTCTCGGCTGGTGAGGGAAGGGACTCTATCACTTGTCTGGAGTACTCGGAGACAAAAGAAAACAAATGCTTAACATACGTCTGTTGTATTTCTTGTAATTGTGTCAAATCAATAGCTGGTTTTTCATGCATTATAACACCTAGAGGAAATGGTCGACCCATTAATACTTCATGTGGAGACAGTCCAGTAGTTTTGTTAGGCATAGATCTAATTGATAATAGGGTGAATGGTAATGCATCTACCCAAGTCATTTGTTTTGACTGATGAATTTTAATCAATTTATCTTTTATTGTACGATTAGTACGTTCAACTTGACCAGAACTTTGAGGTGAATATGGAATATGAAAAGTCCATTTAATACCCAATGCTAATGCTAGTTGCTTAGTTACTTTAGAAGTAAACGTCGTGCCATTATCGGAGTCAATGCCTTGAGGAATACCAAATCTAGGAATAACATGTTCCATTAAGCACTTGACTACTGTTTGAGCATTTTCCTTTCTCGTGGGAAAAGCCTCTGGCCATTTTGAAAATCTGTCTACTATCACTAAAAGGTATGCGTAACCTTTTGCCTTTGGAAGGTGTGTAAAATCAATTTGCAATTGTTGAAAGGGTCCCTCTGGTTTAAGTAAGTGTTGTCGTTTAGGTGGATTTACATGTGGATTGCATCTAGCACAAATTAAACATCTTTGAGTAAATGCTCTGGCATGTTGTTCTATTCCTATTGCATAAAATATTTTGGAAATATATTTGGTAATAGCTTTGTAATTCACATGATTTATTCCGTGTACATAGGCAATGAGAGTGTCATAAGCTAGTTTTGGTAATACAACACGTTCGTGTAAATCTTTCCACAAGCCATCATTATCCTTGCAACATCCTTTGTCTTGCCACAATGTGACTTCAGACTCTTCAGCCT